ATGAGTGAATTTAGGGTCGGAACGCCAAACAACTTCTTAAGGGTTGTCCTAAAGTTGAACTGAAAAGATCAAAGTTACAGTCTACGGACGTGATACCAATCCAAACCCCAATCATTCATCTTCTTCATATTCTCACACCAATCTCTCTACACATTTATGCAAATCCCCATTTGCGCCACCAAAAATATATTCGCTTCTGCTTCACCATCCGGTCTCGATTCCAGATTTCATTTGCCACTGTCATACAGATACCCTACAGTTGCAGTCACCCAGCTGCCATTCGCCTTCGAGTTTCAGATTCCAGTCGGAGCTCCTCATCTTCTCTCGAACGTAAGTAAAAATGAAAAAAAATTATTGCAAGTTTTAAGTTTCGGTGAATTGGATTTTGATTTTGTAAAAGTCCTGTTTCATGAAATTGGTAAAGCTGATGTATGCGAAGTTATCAACTTTTTTGTTCTATAAATTCTCATCAAACCTATACCTTTTGCTCTTCGTTTCTCTTGGCTTTCTTGGTGTATTATTCAATCAAATTGCCACTGGATTTCAAGAAAGCAACTTTTGGCTTGTGTCAATTCAGGTTCGTTTATTTTGATTCACATTAGAGAGTGTAATGATTCTGCTTCGATATTTTGTTTCTTCAAATTAACCCGTTTTATGCAAGAAACATTCTTTGAAATGTTCAAGATTCTGAATAAGTTTTCCTCTTCATTCTTTTTAATTTTACGTGTTGAAATTAACTCTCAAAGAGTTTTCTGGTTATTGTTACACCTCAGCATCCCTCCTCTCCCTAATTGAACCAGATTCGAGCGAGGAACATTGCATCCAGTTCTACCTGTTTGTTCCCAGCTCGACCTGGAAATTTGGTCCGAACCAATTGTATTTTTTCTTATGTTCTGTATTCTGCATGCTTTTCCTTGCAAATAGTTATTATAATTGGTGTTATCATATTGCCTAAATGTGCCATTTGAACACCGTGGAGTGCAGGAGTCTTCTCTCTTTTCTTCTTCTTCTGAAAAATAGATTAAGGAGCCTGTCCTTCTATTACACTTCATTGCATAAAGAAGAATACCTTCTGGTTGACCTGTACATTTTTCTGAATAATGTGCTTTTGCATTTGCAGAATTTTTAAGCACATGGGATACGAGTCAAGTAGCCCATCTCATGTTGGCCATGATGAAGGTGTACTATCCTTTTCACCAATCTTTCCAATTTGCAAAAGGAACTAGAATTTAATTTCTACTTCTGTGAAACGTAGAAATATCAACTTCTTGTTATATTTTTCATTTCATTTTCAGTTTTGGCTTTTGGTAGAATTTCTATCTTAATCCCCCACCAAAATGAGAAAAAAAAAAAGAAAAAAAAAGGAAAAGTTAACACGCCGAGAACATGCCTCCTTTTCCAATGGGGCAATCCTTTTCAGTATATGTACAATGAGCCAATAACGGGTAGAATCATATGCAACCTCACTTATGGCATGCCTACTTGCTTCTTGATTGGTTTGCTATGACCAAATTTATGTTAATTGGACAGGGTGTCTTTATGCGTTAGGTCATCGGTTGTCTGTATATGTATAAATATTTGAAACATACAGCTTCTAATCTTCGGATACATGGACTTTGTGGAGTTAACAACTTTTTTCCTTTGCTTTTACGGTAAGCTGATGTCCAATGTAATGCGAACTTTCTAAAATGAGTGTTGAAACTTATTTTATATTAGACAAGTAGTTACCCTTGCCCATTGTCTCGTGATAAGATTTGATATGTCATGTATTTGAAATAGTTAAGCTGTGTCGATGCGAGCACTGATATAAGTTCCAGGTGTTGTTCTTTTATTTTATTATGACATTTAGATGAAGTATTAATATAATTAGAAGCTAACTTATAGGCTGTAATCTCTAGGAAGCAGGATCCGAGAGCGTGAGATACTTGAATTTATTTAGTTGAAGAAGGCCGGATACTTGAATTACGCTCTTATAAATAATTCTCTGCTGTTCATTGTGTGTATATGAGTCGCATTACTTTAGACAGGACCTCCTGTTGTTGAAAATTACGCTTAGACTGAGACTTAGTTAAAGCTGTCATGTTTGATGAATTGGACAAAAATATGTTTTGTGCAGTGGACTGTAAACATAATAAGTGCATCTATGGCAGCTTAGTTTATTGGTAAGCGCAAAAATAGGCATCATTTTCTTGAGTTCTCATTCTTGTCTACCGCTGTTATCTTTTTAAAGAATAAAGATGCTGAAAAGCTACATGCCCTTGTTATATATGGAACATTGATTTGGCAGACTACTACTTTGTTTTGATTTGACAGATGACGATGATGAATATGAGGAGGGTGCTGGGGGTAACCGTCTATTGGGATTCATGTTTGGAAACGTGGATGGCTCTGGTGATCTTGATGTTGATTACCTTGATGAGGTGATCTTCTTCTTCTTCTTCTTATTTATTTATTTATTTATTTTTTTCCCTTTCTAAGTTTAAAAATGCAAGGACTCCTTGTCCTCTTCTTATTCATTTTTTTCTCCCAATTAGTAATTTCTTGTTTTATCCTCAAAATTTGTATCGTGTTGGTTCTGTCATACTATATTTTTAATTTCAAAAAATAAAAATAAAAATAAATAAATAAATGAAGAGTACACCTCCTGTTGTCCCATCATCTATGCTCTCTCTCTCCCCCTCTCTCTCTCATACACACACAAACACACACACACTAGGTCTGAGAAAGTGCACGCTCACAACCACTTTTTGTACTTAGATCTGCACATGGTTGATACTAAATCTGTACAAGTATGATGCTTGAGGTTTTATGTTCAAATATGGGACTGTTCATATGCACTGACATTTGATTCTTTCATTTCTTAGGGATCATAGACTGACAAAAGAATAATCTAGAATAATCTGTCTTGTCAAATTTTTGTATCCATGAATCCTTCAACAATTTCTCTTATCATCTATTTACATTGTAGATGATAAGAAACTGGAGGAAGCCTGGTTCTATGATCTACATATGCTGTAATATAGTTTTTTCGAGACAGTCCTATGACTAATTGAGAGAAAATCTGTAGAATTTCTCCACCAGTCATTTGTTTTTATTATATTATGTAGGGGAACATGGATAATGTTGTTATTCAAATTTTCTGTAGGGTTGTGTTATGTAATGAAGGCTGCTGTCTCAGAGTGGGCAGCTTATATGTCATTGCTCCTAAGATGAAGATTGATAAAAATTTGTTCCCTGTTTTGCTGACAATATGTGTGCAGAACATTGTCATTAATAGCTCGTCATATGTGATCGCACCATCTCTGGAATAGGAGTATTTTAGTTTAACCACTGCTATTAAAAAACGGTGTACATTATTAGATTCTCTTTGTACCTTTTGACTATGTTGAAATTGGTGACTCAACTGTGAAGCACATTCTGCTGTTCAACTTTTTTCCAGCATTAGGTGGTGGAAGCATGATCAAATGGTCTTGCTAAATTATGCCCATGTCTTTTGCTTTCAGGATGCAAAGGAACATCTCTCTGCATTGGTGGACAAGCTTGGTTCATCCCTGACCGAGATAGATGTATGGAAGTCTCAATTCAGTATCAAGCCATATGATTTTGATTGTGTCAAAACTTATCACTTTTAAATGCATTTAATAGATAATTGTTTATTGGTAGATATTCTGGTATAAGCATTGATGCAAATTACAGATGGAGTATCTCTATATGATCTCATTCCCTGCTTATGACACTAATGCTTTCCTTTGTGCTCTTAATTTTCAGTTGTCTGTACAATTGCCGCATACAACAACTGATACTGCAGATCAAGGTGAGTACTGATGATCGCTAAATCATGCAGTTATTTAATTTCAGTTAGTAATTTTATTATCCTTGAGTTTGTATCATGAACATTTGGTTTCTATTTTTGCCACTTAAGAATTTTGGAAAAGGACTTATGAGTTATTTATATACAACGATAATGAAATGTGTATTAGTATTCATGTCATAAGATATGAAAAGTTTTATGCTGGCTCTCAACCTACCACAATCCCTCTACTTTACCTTGTGTTGGGACTGAGTTTGAAAACCGCGAGCAGAGATTATTAACATACTTCAAATATAGTACTACTTTTTTGGAGCTACATGAAATATATACTACCACTGCAATTTAGATATAAGGAATGTTATAATTTTAGGTGGAGAGGGGTTAAATTCTTTGTTTGCAAGCCAAAAGCTGGTTAACTCGCCTTCTTTTATAGTAATTTGAATGTTTTGTTTGCATTTTTTTTTTTTTTG